CGCAGCCCGCCCCTGGCTGGGCGTGGCTCCGGGAACCTCCATTGGCGGCCAAAGTAAACCTGAGCTTCAGGGTTTCTGTTAGGGGCTGCAGTGCTTCTGAACGTGGCTGCGTACTTCGTGAATGCTGGTGCACCCGCATGCTCGTTCCTGGGTAAGTATTGGAGCGGTTTACAAGGTAAGAAATATGACAGTTTGTTCCTTGCTTGTTGTTAGGAAGTTCAAATGAGCCTGGAGTTAGCGGGGCCAGGTTAGAGATCCCCGTGTACTAAGGGCTTGGGCTTTTTCTCTTGAGGGAGTTCTGGGAGAGAAGCACACAGGGCTGCAGTGCTCAGAAATCTGAGAGGGGAAGGGCTCAAGAAAAAATGTTAGGGGATCAAATTTCTGTTGATCTACCGTCTAAGTAAGTAAAGTGAAGCTACTGGCTTATCTTTGCCAGGTTGTCCAAGAATGTCAGGGAAGGTTTACTGAATCACCCGAGAGTTAGTGCTCTCGAGCACTCTGCAAGACTTTCTGGGACTCGGGCTCAGAAAGATTAAGAAGTTTCACCGGTGGGAAATGAAATTTTCCTCCCTGCTTACTACTTAATACAATAAGGGACCGCGGGATCAAGTTTCATTTCTGTGCCGTCTCCTAGACACTTGCCACAAGTGGCCATTTAACTCTAAATTTATGAAATTAATGCAATTATGAAATACAGTCTGCGACGAAGTGGCCACTGTGTCGGGTAGTGTAGAGGAAGGATATTTCTTCATCCCTGGAGATGATTCTCTTCCAATGATGTTGGCAATTCAAAGTAAGTTTTCAGTCAGATTCATAAATTAAAGTTACTGATCAGGAAAAGACCCTTGCTTCTTTTCCACTTAAATATTTATTAAGATATTATAGATTCACGTGCTTTTGTAAGAAACAGGTCAGAGATTCCTTACACTTCACAGTTTCTCTCAATTTGCAAAATACAGTACAGTATCACAAGTGTACAGTGACTACAGAGTAGCCCACCAATCATCTGTTTCTCCTGTGTCCTCATTTGTATGGATGCAGCCATCTACTGTTTCTGGCCTTGGGTATTCTGTTGTGTTTGTGAGGGACCCTCAAAACACAGCAGTGGGTCTGGTTCCTGAACAGTTTGCGAAATGAAACCAAGCGGGAAAGATGCAGCCCCACATCTTCCATAAAACTGTCTAAATTGGCAGAGACTTTCTCTTTTCTGCTTCCTGGCTGACCCTGACTCTACCCCCTTTGGCCTGTATGGTATACCATACATCAAGTGACAAACTCTTCAGATTGTCTTCGTGTCTCCTATGTAATACTGTCTGCTCAAAAGAAATCCTGGGTGCATTTTAATCTGTACAGAGGAACTTTAAAAAAAAAAGTTATGCTATAAAAAGAAGTTTAGGCTGCATAAAGAAGCCAGTAGCAGGTAGTACATATTTTGTGATATCATTTGCCTATTGTTCATTCCATTGACATGGAGCTCTCTATAATATGCACCTCTTGTCCTTTTCAGTAATTTCAGCTCTCTTGATATACATATTTTTCATATATGTTGCATATACAGAGTCCACAAAAAGTGTAGACATACTTCAGGAAAAGAAATCCAAATATCTGGAAGTTAATGGCCACTGAATTGTGCAGCTCTTGTAACCAAAGAGGTCACAGGTAACTTGTGTTATTCTCATGATGTCTCAGTAAACTTAGTATTAAAATATTTCTGCAAGTTTTTCTTTGCCTGAAGCATATATATACATATATATCCTTTAGAAAATATAGCTAGACAACTCCAACTCTTTGGTGATTGTCCAGGCTTTGGCTACTCTTGATTTCTAACTAAATTCCATTGTGAACACAGAACTTGGTGTGTTTGACTTGAATCCTTTTGGAAGGGATTGAAAAGCTGCGAGATGTTTGGGCATATTTTATTTAATATATGCTGTAGGAGGAAAAGTGAGTACATGATTAGAAGAACAAAATGCATGGATGGGGGCTGGGGATTTAGCTCAGTGGTTCGTTCCACCACCTGCCTTGCAAGCATAAGGACCTGAGTTCAATCCCTGGTACCAAAAACAGAAAACAGACAACAGCAACAAAAACAAATGCATGGATGGATGCAGCTCCCAGTCATGGCAGGGCCTGGAAGCAAGCATGTCTCCTCTTGTAACAGAGGGAAGGCGGCAGGGGAGGGTCGCAGGTGTGTGGGTGGCTCTCCTCCAGGTCGTCTGGTCAGCTAGAGGGATTAGTTTCGGGGATCTGAGGAAAGAACAGCATTTCTGCAGAGTGGGAAAATTATTCGGGACATTGGGGTTGTGACTGTAAATCTAAAGAACCCAGTCAGCCCCTGGGGTTCCTTCCTGCCCAGTGGTCTCCCCTGCTAGTGTGGCGGGGCATGGTGGTCCCTTCCGTGGGGTCGTGTTGTCTCGCCTCATACAACCTGGAAAGGTGACTTTTCCAGAGAAGAGTACAGCATTCACCTGTGGCTCAGGTCTGTCTGAGGAATTCTGTATTTCTTGATAAATTGTGGTAATCGACAGGTATGTAAGTGGTGTCCTGTCTGGTAGTGATTGCATTTCCTATCTTTTTTTTTTTTTGGTACCGGGGATCAAACTCGGGTCCTTGCACTTGCGAGGCAGGCAGCAGAACCACTGAGCTGAGCTCAGTCCCCGGTCCTGAATTACCTGTCTTTACACTAGCAAAACGCCAGTCTTGTCTCCATTCACAGCTCAGCCCAACGTTTCCTCACTCCATAAGAATATGCCCGTGGGCTTTTCCTTTCAACTGACTATGTCTACCTGGTTGCCTCATGTCATGCGAATACTCAATATGAGTATATCTTTATCCGTGAAACAGTCATAATTTTGTTCTTTTTGGAAATTTTATTTTAGGGAAGGTGGAAAAACGTAGACAGCATACACGCCCCAGTGCTCTGCAGTTGTGAACTCCGTTGGTACCTTGTTAGCTTCCCCGTGTGTATTTGGCCGAAACGTGACAACACCGCAGCCCTGGTGGCGCTCTGTCCCTGAGTCAGCGACACTCACCCTGAGAACTTTCACAGTCGTTTCTCATCTCAGAGGCACGCATGACCGAGGGTCCCACACAAGCACCACTCACACCTCACACGCCGCCCTTGGTTGTTTTCCACCATGAGTGAGATGTTTTTGAGAAACCAGTCCGCGGCAGTGTCTTCTGAGCGGCTGATGAACCGAAGCCCATGACCCACGTCCAGCGCTGCCCCGGGTTGTCGCGAGTGTCTGCTTTGCTGTGGCACCACGGCAGCCCCGGTTTCTGCTGCAGACCGCACAGCCCACAGAGCTGCAGGTGGTACTGCCTGGCTGCTCCTGTGTGTGCCAACCGCTGAGCCACACCGTCCCTTCTCTGGACCTCACTGTAAAGCTGACTGTACCTCTGAGATAGAGCTGGCCCCGCTTGGAAACAGACTGCGGAACGGGCATTCAGAAAGAACCATTTGTTTGGCTATTGACTTTATTCATCATTCCAGCAACTTCACTTTTTCTCTCCCTGTATCACAGAGGAATCCATAAAAGACATCGTAGGATTGATACCCACTCAGTGAGTACGCTACTCTGTCAGTAGTCCATTAGTACTGAGTCACTGATGGGATGGGGCTATTTTCATTTACTTTTGCCCAGGGATATATTGTACAGTACAGATAAAAAGGGGACCATGGATGCTATGAGTGGAGCTCACTATTGTAGAACATTTTTCTCCTGAACAAACTGTCCATGAGGCCCCTCGGCATCTGGGGGCAGAAGGGCCAAGTACACAAGGGTTTCTGCTCCCTCTTCTGGACTTTTGGGGGCTGAATGTCCCCCCATGTCAGTTCTCACCCACCCTGGGCAACAGGCGTTCAGCAGGATCCTGTCCCCTCTCCTCTCCTCACTTAGTTTCCTGGCTTGGATTCTGGACAGGACTGTGACGCCGATCTTGGACACCCCATACGCGTTGTTTTGCCAGCCTTCCTTCTCATGCCCTTCATTCTTCATGTCTTCCATGAACTTGTTGATGAACTTCACCAGCTCTTCCTCTGTGATGGTCTCACTTTGCAGTTTCTGCTGCAGCTCTGGGCTGCAGCCTTTAAGGGCCATGGAACTCGACATGCTTGACACATTCACCACTCTGCCTGAAATAAGTCACAAGTCCTTAAAGAGAAAGTTGTACACATGAACCATGAGAAAATTTGTTAGAATTTTAAAGCAGAAAGTTTCTACTTTATAGACAATTAGCTTTTGCCTTGTAAAAGAAACACACGTGGATGGTTACGTTGTGGGATTACGAGCTCCATCTCTGCTTCCTTTTTGGCAGGTAGGAGACTCAGGTGACAATGAAACGAGCTCCCCTTTGATAATTTAGTCAGCAGTCTTAGAAGTACAGTAGTAGAACTTTCAGGAAGGACAGGCTGGGAAAGAGGACAGGAATTGAGGGTAAGCTCTACATGCCAGTATTCACATGACTTAATTTTTCTAAAAGTAACTGCTTGTGTTTATTGGTGTGTATTTAGTGAGTGGCAGTTTGCCTGCTGCCCAAATTATGTAAGGAGAATATTACTTCTGTTTTAAGTGAAAGAAATGGGATGGTTTGTTATGTGCCGAACATGGAGCACCTTGATAGGCAGGTAAAATGAGCAGACAGGTAGGGAAGATTAAGGGCATCCCCGTGGACCGTGCTGAGAGCTCAGCCTTTGTCATGAGGGAGTCTTGGCAGGCCAATAGGAAGACAGACGGTGTGCACAGCTCTGGGAACGGAAAGTCCCAGGAAGGGAGGAAGCTTGGGAGCCATTACAGTTGTGCACTTTCATAGCTGAGGGTCTGCTGTAAGGCTTGGATGGGAAGGATTCAGGAGACACTCAGTGAGCATGATCTTTAGATGTGATGAGTGACTAGGAGGGGGTAGGGCACGGTGACCACCATTTTAGGGGTGGGGGTTTTGGGGCAAAGGACGCACACTTTCTGATATCGTCTGCTTCTGACTGAAGGATGTGAGGAGGAGCTGGAGAGCAGGACAATGAGTATGTGTGGGATCTCTGGGAGTGTTGTAGGCAGGTGACAGATTGAGGGGGGTGGCTGGAGGGAGAGATGCTCCAGCAGCTTGAAGAAGATTGCTGGGACAGCAGAGGGGAGCACAGGCAGGATGGATTCCCAGGGGCCTGGAATGTGAGAGCCCCTGTCCATTGGGAGACCTTTGAACCACGGTGTGAAGGATAAAGGAAGAGGCAGGTATGGAAGGAGCAGCAGGACTAGACCATCAGTGGTACCTGGGAAGTGAGGACAAAGCAACAGAGCTGCTCCTGCAGGGTGGAGACACTGCAAGATGGCTGGTGCAGTGGCAGCTACAGAGGGAGAGGGAGCAGGGCCTGGAGAGGAGGCCCCAGCAGGCGGGGACAGGTCAGCACCGGACTCACCTTGGGGCCTCATTAGAGGAAGCAGCTCCTTGCAGACATTCAGTGTACCAAAAAAGTTTGTTTTCATTGTCGCTTCTGCTACAAGGTGAAAGGGTGTGGGATCCCCTTCTTTTAGAGGAGAAAAAGAACATAGTAAACAGTAGCCATTGGTTTTCTCTGCATGCTACTGATGCTTCTGCTGTACAGAAGCTTTTTAATCTGACTTAATCCCATCTGTTGATTCTTTCTGTAATTTCTTGTGTGGTTGAGGCTCTGTTCTGAAAATCCTTTCCTTACACCTTTCTTTTCTTTTTTTGTTAACGGGGATTGAACTCAGGACCCTGTACTTTGCCAGTCAGGTGCTGCACCGCTGAGCTAAATCCCTAGCTTCTTACACCTATGTTTTCAAGTACTTTATGTATTTTGTCTTCCAGAAGTTTTAATGTTTCAGTTTTAACGTTTAGCTTTTTGATCTATTTTGATTTTAATAGAGCATACTGTGCGAGCTAAGGGTCCAGTTGCATTGTTCTACAGATGACCAGTTTTCCCAACACTATTTATTGAATAGGCTCTCTCTCCTCCAATGTATGCTTTTGGCTCCTTTGTCAAAGATCAAAGCTTTGAATGTGTGGAGAGCTCTGTAACTTCAATAGTGTCCCATTGATCTACCTGTCTGGTTTTGCCCCAGTGCCGTGCCCTTACTGTTCTCTAGTACGGTGTGGGGTCTTGTATTGTTATGCCACCTGCCTTCCTCTTATGGCCTAAAATTGCTTTTGCTATTCGAGGTCTCTGGTTCCTTATGAATTCTGAGATTTTTTTTTTCCTCTCTAGAACTGTAAAGAATGCTGTTGATACTGTGATTGGGACTCGATGAATCTGCATAACAATTTTGGATGTACAGCCATCTTGATAACAATGGCTCTGCCTGTCCAGGAGGAAGGGACATCTTTCTATTTTCTGCTGTCCTGAAGATGACCTGCACAGTGGGGAAAAAGAATTGCCATTTACTCCTCAGACAGACGACTAGAGCATCTAGAATGTACAAAGAACTAAAAACAGCAAAACAACAACAACAACAACAACAACAACACTTAAAATAAAAGACCCAGGCAAGAAATGGGCTAGAGAAATGAACAGACATTTCACAGAGGAAAACAGTATAAAAAAACAGCAAATATATGAAAAAGCATTCAACAGCTCTGGTCATGAGAGGAATGCAAATTCAAACAACACCAAGATTCTGGCTTATTCCTGAAAGAATGGCCATCCTTAGCAAATCAAACAGTAGCAAATGCTAGGGTGGGTGTGGTGAAAAAGGAATCCTCTTGCCTTGTTGGCGGGAGGGCAAACTGGTGCAACCATTATGGAAATCAGTATGTAGATTTCTCGAAAGAATTCAAAGTAGAAATTCCATAGGACCCAGCTCTTCCCCGTGCCAGGTATCTTCTCCAGAGAGCTTAAGTCGTCATCCTACAGTGATACTTGCATACCTATGTAGGTGGACACCTATAGGTTTATAGAAGCACAATTCCTAATAGCTAAGTCCTGGAAGCAGCCAGGACAAACAAAATGTGCTATCTGTATATGACGGCATACTACATGGCTATAAAGAATGAAAATTTGAGACATTTGTAGGAAAATAGATGCACCTGGAAAAATATAACCCTGAGTGAAATAAATCAGACATACAGCCTTGAAAACAGTATGCTGTCTCTCATTTGACTGCGGTGAAGTACAAAGGGAGAAAATGATAAAGGATGGATACAAAGGGACAAGGGGACAGATCTCATCCAACAGGGAACTGGTCCAAGGGAACAAGGAATGGGGTGAGGAGGAGGAGGAGGAGAAATGAGAGGAGTAAAAATGTGCCGTGTACAGGACCCTAAGAACTCCAGCCAACGTAAACATTAAACACCATAACAAGAACTGAGCTAAATAAAATTGGCAAGTACCAAAAAGATGATAAGGGAACCAGAAGGCGGGGGGAGGACGGAAGGGAAAGGGTTTGCGGGGAAAGAAAAGCTGTAATATGTTCCCATAATCACTCCCCAAGATAACTGTGGACTGCAGGGACTGCAAACATGCTCATAAAATAAAATTTAATTTAACTTAATTGAAAAAGCAGTAATCATGGGGTGGAATTTCACAGAAAATAAAATGGTGTGTGTGTGAAATCTGGTCCCTTAGGAGTACATTCGTGTAGTTACTGTTGTCAGTGTCAATGTTCTGTTGTGACAGTGCCGCATTATTTTCGTAAAAGGGCATCACTGGAGTCCAGCGGTATCTTGCTGTAATCCCCTCGTTCCTCGTTTATTTCAGAGTGAATTGAAAGTGCACCCAACGGCCTTTAAACTCCCCTCATATAAACATTGTGTGAGGAGAATCTTAAGAAGATCCCAGCATCTCTGTCAGGCAAACAAACTCTTTAGCCTGGAACTACCCAGCCCCTGAGGTCTGTACTTCTGCTGCAGCCCCAGCCTCCCTAGTTCCCTAGGGAGCCTGTTTGCAACCCACAGCCCTGACAGACTCAGTGCACGCTGGCTGGAGTGCCAGGGAGGCCGCCTCCCCTTTGCACACCCAGGTTCCTTACTATTAAAGAAGATGCCCGCGTTGTTGACCAGCACGTCCAGCCCCCCATACTCCCTGCGCAGGAAGTCGCCCACAGCCCGGATGCTCTGCAGGTCGTCGATGTCCAGCAGGTGGAAGCGCGGGCTCAGGCCCTCCGCCTGCAGCTGCTGCACCGCCGCCCGGCCCCGCGCCTCGTCCCGCGCAGTGAGCACCACGTCCCCAGAGAAGCGCCTGCAGAGCTCGCGGGTGACAGCGAAGCCGATGCCCTTGTTGGCTCCTGTCACCAGCGCCACACGGCGACAGGACGACATGGCTGGGTGTGAGGGAGAGAGGATCCAGTTGCAGCCTAGAGCCCTGCAGAGCCTGTGAGCTGCCCAGGTCTGGAAGGCACTGAGTGAGGACCTGAGGCCTTAAAGGCTGTCCTGGTTAAGAGCTGAGGTTCAGGCTCCTCCCCCTAGGGCGTGGCTCTTCAGAAACCCTGTGGGTGCAGAGAATTAGGGTGGTGACTTTGAGCATGAACCTGCTTGTAAGCTCACAAGCCTCAGCCACGCATTTTAGGCTTACTAAAAATGTCCGCTCGTCTTTCTTTGTGTTTATCTGATGACTCCTGGTTCACCATAACGCGTTATGTGCAGCACGCCAAGAGTGTTGATGGGGAGGCGAAAAGAACCTGCAGGCAGCAGGGTTAGACCATGCACGGCCCAGGGCTTGGGCTTTCTCCTGAGGGAGTCTTGGGAGGGATGCAGCCAGGCAGGCTGTGCAGAGCCCTGAGCAAGGGAAATAGGCTCAAGAAGTGAGGCCAGGACTTTGTCACACTTCCCAGTCAGCCCGTTGGACCAGCTCTGCAGCACCCCTCCTTCCTGGGTCTCTGAGGTTTGCTTGGTATTGCCCAGCCATCCAACGATGTGCAGTCGTGCCTGAAGAAATGGGTCTTGCATGGGGCTTTTCCTTGGTGTTTTAAGGACTAGCGCTGCGGCTCACATCATGGAAAGGAGAGTTGTGGAATGCGTGGGCAGAAACCAAGCGGGGAGGAAACGCCTGTTGATTTTCTCCAAAGGACGTGACAGCCAAGCTTCTGGCCCACCCCTTCCCAGGTTTTCTGAGAATGGTGGGGATCACTTGCTAAGTCAACCGGGGTCACCCATCTGGGTACTGGCAAGACCTTCATCTGGTTTGGGTTTGAGCAGTGCAGTGTACAGCTGGGAGGGGCATCATGGCCTTCTTTTGCCCTCGGAGTAAGACATGAGGACCCCTCTCTCTGTTAGTCCTGGGGATTTGCCTGAGAGGCGCCTTACCACTGAGCTAAGTCTTGCTCGATGGCCAAGGCTGACCTCAAACTCGCAACCCTCCTGCTTCATCCTTCTGAGTATTTAGGGCTACAAACATGTGCCACAAGCCCTGGCCGAGGATGCACGTTTTTAATCTTAATTTTACAATGAAAGAGTGGAAGCATGCTCAGAAAATTGAGGAACTGATTCACTGGCGGAAAGTGAGTTTTCTCGCTGCTTCAACCTATGCCGAAGTAACTGGGGACTGTGAGATCAAGTTTCATTTCTGTGTTTTCATGAAGGTAGCAGTTAGCCACACATGGCCATCTAAGCCTCAGCTTCGTGGAACTTAATGCCATTACAAGAGTCAATCTTGAGTCGCAATCCTCACATATGAAGCACTCAGTGTTTCCCTATTGTGGTGGCCGCTGTATTGGGCAGGGCCGGAGTGGGACATTTCCAAGTTTGCAAAAGATTCTTTTGCATGGTGCTGCCTTACAAAGCAACAAATCGTACTGCTATTTTATGGTAAATTTACAACCCAGTTCTTACAAAAATGATACTGATCAGGAAAAGACCTTTGTTGTTGTTTTTTTTTCAAGTGAAATGCTTATTGATATAAATTCACACATACTTGTAAGAGAATATACTTCTTACGCTTCAGTTTCTCTCCATTTGCAATATTGTGCAGTGAAAAGTTTTGCCTCTCAAGGGATGCAGGTTCATAACATGGTAGCACTGGATAATTTGAGGGGAGAAACATCAATGGGTAACCCCCATGGGACACTGGCCCAGACCCGAGTGAAGAGTGTGTGCTTTTGACAAAAGCAGCCTGTGAGTGGTCAACTTGAAAAGCAACTTAGGACAGGATATCATAACCCGTATCAGAGGCATCATCTACAGCAAAGCTAGTGGGAGATGAAGGACATATTAACTCAGCTATGTGACCTCCAAAGGCAGTGATGCTTAAATTCAGTTAAGAGCCTCTGAGTACCATTTGCATTCCTGTAATTCCAGGGATTTAAGAGGCAGAGGTGGGTGGATGGGAGTTGGAGACCAGCCTAGGCAACACAGAAAGACCGAGTCTCAAACAATAATTAAAATAAAAGCTTACTATTGCAAGTAAGTAAAAGCAAATGAAGCAAGAGGGTTTATTTTTGTTTTTAGTTTAACTAGCGTATGAAAAACATTGCATTAACAATTAATGGGGGAAAAAAATAACGATTCCAAAACTGGTACTAGAGAAAGGGAGTAATGCTTGGAATGCAAAATTAATACAAATCAGTACACCAAGTAATTTCTAAATGATAGACATGAAAATTTCCTTTTAAATGCAGCTATTAATCTATAAGTGAGGGTTTTATTTTCAGTTTGGTTATATTTCTGCAACATTAGCAGAGCAATTCTGGAAGAAAGAACTGTCAGATTTAGCAACTGGGAACTTTGAATATTTGTTTTTGGAAAACACCATAATATAAAACCTTTGAATAAAGCTCTACTTGGAGGATTTATATATTTTTCTTTTATTACATTTGGATGTAGACTCTTTTGGGTTGGATTGTTTACATGTTCTTCTCCTAGGTAAGCCTGAAGACTTCTTTTTCTGTTTTTTCCCACTGTTGGAGATCAAACTGAGCGTCTTTTTCTATCCTAGAAAATCTCTCTGTCATGGAGCAATATCCACAGTCCTTTCTCTTAGTTCTGATGTGGTTTTTTAGGGATCCATAAAACATGGCACTTGTTCAGAGCTCTGCACAATTTCAGGAAAAAAATACAAACAAGGGATAAAAGTAGAGGCCCATACCTTCCTTATTACTGCTTATAGTTAAACTGCTGAACAGGAGTTTTTGGTTTGTGTCAATGTTGTGAAACTGTCTTGACTGGTATATGTAGAAATTGCTTATTCATCAATTAGTTTGTGGAATAAATCCACATCTGTGCTACCTATAATCACAAGATTTTGTCTTAAAGAACAGGGTTCCATGGTGGCTCCTGAAATACAATGGAAACAATTGTTACATCGTGAAGTATGAAGCTCTCAGGGCCTTTCTATTTTTGTGAACTGAAATTCAGAGAACTGAGTTTGATCATGACTTTTTATATATTTCATACTGCTGAACAAATTCAATAAGCTTTGCTGGAGCATGATGTCCTAGCTCAGTGACTTAGTAGTTATGAAACCCTAAGCAATTTAATATGGTCAAGATAAGCCAAGCCTGACTTAAAATGGCAAGTCCAGAATTTAATGAGTAATGAAACATTTCTTTAGGGACAAGGTCCAGGGTTAACTGAATTCCAACGACTCTTGTATAGTGATGACTGTGCAATTTAAAGGCAGAGACATGGATCAGGTTGGGGAGGGTCTTCAGGAGTTAGGAAGTGAAGATTCACAGAGTGTCACTCAGTGTGAATGTCAGTTGTGTCTGTAAACTGACAGTTATCAACAGTGACATCCAATCTTTTCTACTGCAGATAGCTGTCACCAAGAACTGAAAAAACCACAAATGCTGCTCAAGGTTACATAAAAAAGGAACCCTTCCTTCTACATTGTTGGCTGCTGTCTTAGTTACTTTTCTCTTACCTGAGACTAAATACCCAATACCCAAAGTTAAAGAAAAAAAGCTTTATTTGTCTCACAGTTTTTAGAGGTTTCAGTCTATAGTAGGCTGGCTCCAAAGCAGGGCGACATTGCAGAGGGGCATTACAGAGGAGAAATAGTTCATGGTACACAGAAGGCAATAAGGCAGCAAGCTACAAGGAACAAGTAGTGACTGTCTTTCCATCCTTTATATCCTATCCAGGTAGCACTCACACCCAGGGTGGGCCTTCCCATTACCCACACTCAGAACCATGCCAAATGTCAGTGGAGTAATTTAGTAATCATGCCCTTAAACACAGCATCACACACTGTAGATCCACCCACCTCTGAAAAGTCCTATCTATGACTACATGAGGCTTTGGGGGGACATCTAGATATAAGCCATAACCATGAGCATGTAAACTAGTACAACCATTATGGAAATCAGTATGAAGATTCCTCAAAGGACTAAAACTGTAATCAGTGCCAGCACTTAGGAGACAGGAGAATCACCATGAGTTTGAGGCCAGCCAGGGATACCTAAGTGAGACCCCATCTCACAAAACAACACAATCCCTAAAAATATAAATTCTATTTGACCCAGTTTTAGTAACTCTTCAGTAACTCTTCCCCAAAGAGTTAAAGTCATCATATTATAGTGATACATGCATACTGTATCAGTCAGTATTTACTAGAGAAACAGATATAATACACTATATACAAATATATGTGAATTTACAAGATTGGCTTACAATGGCCACCCACAGAGTCAGATGAGGAAGAGTGCAGAAGGTCTGTCTGCACATTGAAAAAATGGAAGGATTTAGCCGAAGGTCTGGAGCTCACTGCAGTGTCCTGTGTGAGTCCATATCTGGAGGCCAATGGATCTGTAATGTAAGACTGAAGGATTTGTGCCACCAGGCTGAGAGATCTGCACTGGAGCCAGGAGGTAACACCCAAGGCAATGACCAGATCTCCCCTGATGAGAACAGCAGCCAACCCAGGCTACAGTGAGGATCCAAGTACCTATGACAACGAGAACAGCCAAGTTCCCATAAGGAAAACCAGCTGTGGCAAGCTTCTCCAAGAAAATCAACAGCCAATGCAGTCCTTCCCAGCAGAATCCGAACCTTGTCGTTACCAGCTTTCAGGTCTTCTGAACTTTGGCCAGATTCTCCCAAACAGTACAGCCTAAGGCATTCCAGTTCTTTTTCAGCTGGCATTTCCAAAATCTTCCAACAAACCAGGCCCAAAGGCTCCTGAACCACATGGTCAGATATAGTCACAGCAAAGACCCCACTTTTTTGGTACCAAATTCTGTGTTACTTTTATTGTTGCTGAGAAAAGTTAAACCTTGCCCCAAGTTAAAGGGGCAAGGTTCATTTAGCTCATAGTTGTGGAGGTTTCAGTCCAGGATCAGCTGGTTCAAAGGCGGGGTGGCGTGGCCAACAGGCCTTGCAGAGGAGAAACAGTTCATGGCAAGCAGAAGGTAGCAAAAGCAATAAGGGACAACCATAGATAGCTCTTTCTATTCCTTGTATCTCATCCATACTACTTAGGGAATGTAGCACTCACACCCTTAATCCTAGTGGCCTTGAGCCTAGCATTGCACCATGAATTAATCGCACACTCTAGATTCAGCCACCTCAACAACAACAACAACAGCAACAAACTCCATCTATGACTGAGTGCAAGAGGCTCTGGGACCATCTAGACAGGAGCCATAACACATACCTATGTTTATAGCACCAGAACTCATACTAGCTAAACCTTGGAAGCAGTATAAGCCCATCAACAGATGAATGGATAAAGAAAAGGTGATATATACACAATAGAGTAGTATTCAGTCACAAAGAAGGATGCAATTGAGTCATTTGTAAGAAAATGAAGGCACCTTCATACTGTAATGTGAAGTGACATAAATCAGAGACAGATTATATATCACATGATTTCTCTTACATGAGAAACCAAAAATAAAATTTTAAAAGCAAAATAAAAGCTAGGAAAGAGGGAGGTAGACTTTGTAGAGATGGGAAAGAGCCCTGGAGATGAATAAGATGGGAAAGAGATGGGGAGAGAAGTAAAAATGATTGATATGTGGTATGTATATGTACAGATTTCCAAGATGAATATAACTACGTTGCACTGGACACATATACTAGTTAAAAAGAAGCCAAAACAGGCCCGGCGTGGTGGCGCACACCTGTAATCCCAGCACCTGAGAGGCTGAAGCAGGAGGATCATTGTGAGCTCGAGACCAGCCGGGACTACATAGTGAGTTCCAGGTCAGTCTCAACTACACAGTGAGATCCTGTCACAAAAAAAAAAACAAACAAACAGAAAAGAAGCCAAAACAATAAACTTATAAAATGTACCAATAATCTTAATTTAAAATGAATGTAAAATATAAACACAAGGAGAAAAGATACAAAATATAATTATCAAGGTTCACAAACAAACTTTTTGTTTTCAACCAAAAGACTGAAAAACACAGACCTCATTAGTTCTAATGACTACATTTCAAAGAAATGGCTTTCAGGTCGGTGGCATAGCTTTGAAATGATTCTAAATATTGTTGTTACATGAGGCTTTGTCCTTGTATGGGACAACCCAGAGTGAACATCTGTCTCCAGGAATGTGACTCACACGACATCTTTCACACCCACACTGAAGAGCTTGCTGTCATCTTTTCCTTCTGTCAGGAACATTATCTCAAATCTGGCACTACCCTCCTTCATGGAAGGGCCTCAGATGTCCTTGAAAATCTCTGCTTCTGTGCTCAAGCTGGCTTCTCCCAAGAACTTCTCAGAGAAAGGTGCATTACCAACTCTTGTTAGACTTTACTTTCCACAGAGGTGGCTTCCATCCTAACAGAACAATTGCATCTTAAGCATTTTGGGACTCACTGTGTGGTTGCTACATGGCGTTAATGGAGCATACTTTCTGTGAGATTTGCTGACATTTTTTCCCTCTTCACATTGTGAATGTTAATAAATAATACTTTTTGCATAACAAGAAATTATGTGATTTTTGATCTCATACTTTGGTCTCCTTTTTGCCCCTATCCCTAAGGTCTTTGAGATGGACACTCCAGGGTTGTGGGAGAGACATGTACATGCCAGAGGGACAGAGGGAGAATTTACAATTATAAACACTTTTTAGTAAATGATTTAATGATGGGTGGTCAGGGTCCTAAAGTCAGATGTTAGTTAAATAGTCATTTTTTTTGGAAAGCCTTGAGCATTCTCACGAAGGCACTTATCTCATCTTAGAGATACAAACTTCAGCTGTTAAAAACTATGTTAAAGGCTTTTGTGGAGAAATGGGTGTAAGGAATCATTTGTGCTAAGCCCCTGTAGTTTCTATAGGGCAAGTTTTTGCTCAGAGGAATTTGACTAGTTCAGTCAAGAAGAGAATCTTTGCCAATTCCCAGGCACAAAATGGTAATACACACTATTTTCCTCTTTTATAATAGTAAATTACTCATTATAATGGCCTCTTTTCCTGTCTGGTAGGAAATAAGGAGACAGTTTTTTTTTCTTTTATTTTTGCAAATGGGAAGGGAACCAAGAGATAGTGGGTGGGGAGGTAGAGAGTTGAGGGGAGGGGAAGGGGGTGTAAAAAGAATTATGATGTTATATACATGCACTAACTCTCCGTGATGCATGTACTCATTATGTACTGTAAATATATACTAATAAAAATTTAAAAATAAAGATTTCATATCAAACATTAAAAAGTAGAATGCAGATGTATAGGAATGTTATGGGTGAAGCTGCAACAATTACCTTGAGACCAGGAGGGAACAAACAAAAAGGTATATTGAATAGCCAAGTCCCCAAGCATAGTACTGTGGAAGCTGAAAATGAAGGCTGACCTTTGATGATACTGCTGAACCTTTGTTCTGCTAAGATACATTATGACAAAGTAGGTTTACAAACAAACAAACAAACAGAAGGGGATGCCATGAACTAGGAGAGATCTAACGCCTTGGTTCCCAAGTAAGCCAAACTTAACTCAGAACTTAAAAGAAATTGACTAGGGAAATTACAGGTGGTCACGCTTGCTTTATAGTGATTTGAAATTCCCATGGGAAGAGTTAAAATGAAGCAGTTGTTCAAACTCAATTTCTTTGCTCTGTTTTCACATTCATTCTATAGTAGCCTTCTCCTGGTGCTCTTTCCTTATGGAGAAAGAAAACATTTCTCATTTTTAACTTCTATATTCGTGAATCTCTGATCAAATAAATCCTTCCCTCCTTTTAAACTCCTGGGTTTAACATAGGCATGTACTGTCATGCCTGGCTGAAACCCTTACAACTGTTAACCTGTCAAAGTTTACATTTTAATAGTTCCCATAAGGAACTGTTTCTTTCCAGCCCAACCACCTTTTCAAACATAATTTTAGGACTGAGGTTGTAGCTCAGAGGCACCAGTTATCTAGCATGCAAGGCCAGCAAAACAAAAACAAAAACAACACATGCAGAAGACAAAAAAGTCAAAACTCCCAAATTAAAAAAAAAGCCTGAAAACTTTGAAAGTGTAGTACCAGTATACCATATACATCATCTCCATTTTCTCCAATTATTGTCTTATTACTATAGTGTGTTTGTCACAACTAAGAAACCAATATTGAACCGGGTGATCAGTACGTGCCATACTTTATTTGAATTTCACTTGTTTTCCCTCTGTTCTTTTTCTAATATTCTCCTTCAGGTTACCACATCACACTTAGTTGTCATATGATTCTGCTTTTTGACAGTTTGTCAGTTTCTTTTTCATGTTTTTGGGGTACAGGTCAGGTGTTTCAGGATTTGTCTTTTTTTTTCCCCACAGAACGGGGTTATGCGGAGGAAAACCTCAGAAACATGTTATCCACATTCTTTACTCCTGATAACATCCTTGACCACTTAGCTATTTCCTAGGTTTCTCCACTATGATGTTATTCTTGTCCTCCTCTCTCCAGAAATCAAGCTCTTAATAAGGATGAGTGATGCAGAAACTGAGCTCCCTCTCCTGGAAGGAGTATGCATAGAAATATTTAGAATTCCACGGCAAGATGGGTAAATGGGACCGGAAGGAAAAGGGAAGAGGGGTGCAGTGACGAAAAGGGGTGAGATCGGGTCCTGGCAGAAGTAAGGGGGACGGGTGAAGTGGTGTGGGGACCACAGCCTGGTAGGGGGACTGAAAGACCTAGCCAGGCAGGCTGAGGTCGGCGGGGCCAGACTCAGGTGACCGGAGCTACTTCTTATGAAAAAGATTGGCAGGTCGGGTCTTCAAAGAGCAGACTGCCGTCCGCGGGCCGCTGGAATTTTATACCCAGGGATCGCTGTGAGGTAAAAGGGTGTCTGTCAGGTAAAGGGCTTGGCGTCCTGGACTAAACATCTGGAAAGCTGCGCTTGCGTCCGCTGGGAGGAAGCGGCCAGCGGCGGAGAGGGTGCCCCACCGTGTACTGAGTTGGGTTGCGGAGGACTCAGGCGAGCATGATAACATATGGAGAGAGAAAGCTTTTCTCATTTGTAACTTCCGTATTCATCAATCTCTGATCAAATAAATCCTTCCCTCCTTTTAAACTTCTGGGTTTAGCATAGGCATGTATTGTCACGCTCATCCTCTCCCTCAGCGATTTTGTCTATTTCTTCAGTTTGGATCACCCAGAGCGCTGTTCCGGTTTCCACACGCGCACGCCCGCCCACTGCTGCCGCCATTTTAGAAGAGGCGTAAGACTTCCGGGTCGTGACCTTTCGTTGCCTGGGTAACGGAAGCAGGGTTTTTGCTGCCGCTTTCCTTTGCATTTTGTGTGAAAAGAAGTGGTTCCCATGGCAGACTCACGCGAAGCCTGTGCACTACTGTAACCTCCCTTCTCTTGGACGTCATTCCCTCAGTGTTGTTGCTCGCCGCGCCGGGGACGCGAAGGGACCCGAGGGGCTGACGGCACCCGGCTGGGAAGCGAGGAGTGGTGTGTGGAGGGCACCACAGGGTACCGTGCATTGTGAGCACTCTGGGGGCGCAGGCAGTGCCTTTCGCCGGGCTCCTCGTGGCCGTCACCCGGACACTTGGGGAAACTTCGCGGCCCCGCTGTGGCCAGAGCCCCGGACACTGGGAAGGAGCGACTTCGATTGGCGCTGGGGCCTGATTCCCAACATCCGGTTCAGCTGCCAAAGAACCTGCAGCCGCTGAGCGTTAGTACTGTCGGGAGTTACTCGTTTCTGTTTCTCTCCAGGAATTTATTTAGAAATGGATTTTAACATCAGCTATATCGCTGCCTAAATATGCATGTAAATAATATATTATGTCACGTATGTACTCATATGTATGGTATATAAGTCAGATAGCATACAAAAATAATAGGACGTTTTCGAATAACCGTTCCTAAATACTCTTAATATTTAAATATGCATGATGCGGTCAGAAGTAAACTCAAAAGGGATCACTTGCTTTATAAATTCTGAAACTTAATTTTTTTACTTGTATGTTTTGCATATTTTATAACAGCGTAAGCGGTACATTCCTTACAATAACTGCATTAATTCCTATCGTTTTTATAAGACGCTCAATTCTATTGCTGGTACTGTGCTGCTGTTTAATAGATTTCATTTTTATGCTTCTAAGGAAGTAGCATGTAGAATCTCCAGTACTTACTTTAGATTTTATCACTAGTTGTATTCTTTCTTGGCTGTCTCCCCAACCTGTTGCAAACTCCCGTTTAATTATATTCATTTGAAGATCCTGATCTCAAAGAACAAGCCACTGTTTATTTCAGACTGAAAGGAGATTTTTTTTCCCTTGCCTCTAAGATGTCTTAGTGGATAGTGGCTCCTGTTTTATTCTAAATGTAGTTAATTTAAGTTGGTCCTTTTGTAAATGTTGATTAAGATTGAAATGTGGAAATCCCCACCGCACATGTTTATGCAGTAATTTATGAGAATTGCGAAGATTAATCATTATTCAATAGGGCCTGAAGAAATTGTTTTAGTGGATCCTGTAGAGTGGGCCCTACTTCACTGCACGATCCTGATTTAGTTCTTGGTATGAATCTTTCCTCTACAAAAATGCTTTAAGTATGCACATTCCCCTCCACTGCAAAACAAAGAAAGGAAGAAAAATGAACCACACATCTTGCTGAGAAAGTTTACCAAAACCCGCACTTCCATAATAAAGGGTACAAAAAACAGTGAGTATCATACAACTGGAAATTACTACTAAGAAATGCTTTTTGTGTTTTAGAGTAGGCATCTACCCAGAAACTACAATTGTAGTATGCAGAAGGGAAGAGGAAGAACAAGTCGGATCAGAAGGCGAAAACTCATTCGAGGTTCTGAATCTAGAGGAGGTACAGTTTTGTTTATTTTGGTGGTAGTGCTGAAAGAAAAGAAACCCTTTGCTGATTGTTGACTGTTTCTACACATAGGTGTTCTGAAAGTGCTCAGAGAGAATATTTCTTAGTGAACACTCTTTAATGGCGTCCTTATGTTCTTGTAAGCCCTAGCGAGAGTATTATGAATCTGTTTAACTCATTGCCTCAGCCTCTTATGTGGAGGTCATGACCCCAGGTTTCTGTTTCTGGCTCTTGCCTTCTAGCCCACTGAAGGATATCAGTGTGTGGGGGTAAATTCATCACTTCTAACTCAGCGTAACCCAAGCTAAAGGAGATAAAACATATGAAAGCACTTGGCCAACTGTGAAGTGTTATGTAAATGCAATTGTTATTTGGATAAAAATTAGTAACACTTTCCCAGTTGAACCCAAACATGTCAGCACCATCCTGACGTAGTCATATTCACGTTGACCCTCCATAGCTATTGTCCCTCTGAACTTTTCCTGTCTTTTTTTAGGTTATGTTCTTCCTGTGCTTTTTGATTCTTATACATGAGGATGATTTCTGCTGGTTGTTTGCTGTTTTGCCTACACCCTTGTTTCCTGTCCCTTTTATTGCCGTCCAGTTTTCCAAAGGAACAGCTTCCACATTACCTTTCTGGTTAGGAACCTCTGGGGATCCTTATTCCCTGTTATGTGAGATCTGAACTCCTTCTGCCTGACATCCAAGTTTCTTTAGAAGGGAGCCCCAGCCTCGTAGTGCCATATGTTCTGAGTACTGTTTGTCATCTCTGTTCTCTGCTTCATAAACACACCCCTCCCACACTTCCACTTCTGTCCCTCACAATCCTCCTTAGCTTAGAACAGTGATGGCGAACCTTTTAAAGCTTTTAAGGATAACAAGCAGCCTGCTATGGCATTTGTGCCAGAGGTTCACCACCACTGGCCTAGAACATCTGTTTTCCTTCTCCTTGCTTGTCTGCTTTCTGTCTAACCTTCACAACCAAGTTTTGGTAGTGTCACTTCTACTTCTCACTAATGTTAGCCTTCGCTTGTTTGCCAGCTAGGTTGAGTGTTCTTTGTGGTTAGCATGTGTTATATGTCTGTTAGTGTATAGTAGAGGCTCATGAAATGGGCATAGTGGTGTCTGCCCATAGTCTCAGCTACTTGGGAGGCTGAGGTGGGAGGATCGCTTGAGCCTAGAGTTTGAGGCCAGCATGGGCAATACAGTGACACCCTGTCTTGTGAACAAACACGAGCAGACAACGTGAAATGCTCATTAATATATTGCTGTCAGTATTAAATCTGTTTTCTAGTCTGTTGGTAATGTTTTTAGGGAGGCTTTTACTTTAGGTCACTTTTTTAAAAAAGTTTGTTGGGGTTTAATTGACATAATGAGTATCACCTATTTAAAGAGTACGATTTGATATAGGTACGGTACATATACATGAAACCATCATCACCATGAAAATAATGAACGTGTCCATTGTCTGGTGAAGTCCCTCTTTCCTTTGATAATCCATTATCCCATACCTCTCTCAACAGTCCTTCCCAGCCCCAGGTAACTACTGAAATGCTTTCTGGGTCACTGGATTTGTTTGCATTTTATAGCTTTAAATAAATCACTCAGTGTGCACTGTGTTTTAAAATCTGGCATCTTTTCCTAAGCACAGTTATTTTGAAATTCATGTTACACGTGTCAATAGCTCATTCTACTTAATGCTTAATATGGTTTGTTTATCCTCTCTATGGTAGGAAGGTACAGATTATGTTTTATATATTTTGTGCAAAACATTTTTTTCTGAATTCATTCTTCTTGTCTAAAAACAGTGCTTCTCAAAGTAATTTAGCCATTATAAATCTTCTCTCCATGAGTTTTGCAACCTGAGTAAATCAGTTCTGCCACTGGAGATGTGAAGTTAGAACTGGGATAAAGAATCAGCTTGTTCTACATTATCATAAAACCATGATATATCTTTTATCTATTTTGCTAAGTGCCCACTTATGTTTCCTAGTGGGCATTGGTTTTCCCATAAGTACCCTTCCCCCTCTGTTTTATACTCCTATTAATATGGTATAGAATCCTCACATTTTAGTTGCTTCTGTGAGTCATATTTTTCTGTGAATTCCTGTGTAGATAAATAAAAGTATTTTTAAAACTTGCTTGTCTGTATTTTGTTGGCTTAACTTGTAGACCCCCCACATAGGAACCTAATAGAACAGAGAAAAAGCTTTTCCTCCCTGACAGTAGACATTAAGGTCATTTTCAGTCTTTGGCTGTCACAAGTAAAGCTGCTGAGAACACCCATGTACAAGTCATCCCATAGACATATGGTTTTCTCCTTTGCGTAGTTACCCAGGAGTGAAGTGGCCAGATCACTTGGGAGGTGTAGGTTTAACTTTTAAAGAATCTTTAAAGCAATTTTTCAAAGTGTCTGCCCTATTATATATTTTCACCAGTAGTTTGTAAGATTTCCGGTTGCTCCACATTTGTGGAACTTTTGTAATTGACTGTAAGAGTGATGGCAAACCTTTTAGAGCTCTCAATGATATAAACAGCCCACTGTGGCACTTGAGCCATAGTTCGCTACCATTGGTCTATAGTATTGTGTGTCTTAGAGAATGTTTCATGTGCCCTTGAGAAAAATGTGTATTCTGCTGCTGTTGGGTGATGTTTGTTAGTCCTACTTGTTTTATTGTGTTGCCATCTTAATTCCTTGGTAATCTAATACTCAGTTGTTGTACTATTTACTGAAATAGGTCTACAAATTTCTAGCTATTTCCGTAGAATTCTTCTTTCTCCCTTTACTTTTGTTAGTTTTTGCTTCATGTATTTTATGGCTGTGTTGCTAGATTTATGTACGTCGATAATTATTACATCTTTCTGATGGATTAAGACTTTATCATGAAATGTTCCTCTCTAACCCTAATAGCACCTTTGTTTTAATGTCGGCTTTTGACTGATACTAGAATAGTCTTCAGCTTTCTTTTTTTTTTTTCCTTTTTGGTACCAGGAATTGAACTTAGGGCCTCCTGCTTGCCAGGCATGCACTGTGCCACTGAGCTACATCCCAGCCCTCTAGCTTTCCTGTAGTGGTGTGTCTGATCCATCTTTTCATGCTTTTACTTTTAGTCTCTATCTTGGAATCTGAAGCATATCTTTTGTATATGGGATTTCCTTAGGTCTTGTTTATTTATCCTAACTGCTTTTTGCTTGGATTTCTTAATTCATTGACATTCAGTGATATTACTGATGCTTTGATTTATATCTGTCATTTTATATCTTGTTTTCTATATATGTGTTGTATATCTTTGCTCTTCTGTTTCTCCTTTACAGTGTTCTTTTGTGTTAAAGCATTTTTTCTAATATACTGTTTTTATTTCTTCATTGACTTTTCGTTATATTTTTTGACTTATTAATCATGTTCTGGGGCTTACCATATATGTCTTAGCTTGCTCATTTTATTTTTGTCTTAAGTCTTAGTCACCTTGGGCCACCATAGCAAAGGTACCGTAGCTGGGTGGCTTAAACAGTGTCAGTTTATTTCTCATAGTAGTGGATGCTGGAAAATGTAAGATCGAGGTGCTGGCTGACTGACTTGGCCCCTGGTGGTGGCTCTCTGGTTGTAGCCAGGTGCACTTTGAGTGTGTCCTCACATGGCAGGGGATCTCTACTTTTTTATTTTCTTTTTTTTGTGAGGCTCTAGGTTTTAGGAGGATTTATGAGATCCTATGAGGATAGAACTTACGGCTCTAAACATGTTCTCTACTACTTAGCTGTACCCCACCCTCTCCTTCTTGTAGGACCCCTAATCCTACAACAAAGGCAGCACTATCATGACCTCATCTAACTGTTCTTATCTCCCTAAGGGCCCCTCTCCAAGTACTGTGACAGTAGGGGTTAGGTTGCAACATAGGAATTTGGGGAAGGTACAACCTTTCAATCTAACAGTCTTATTTATTTATCTTTTAGTTGTTTTGATATACAGGTCTTACACATGTTATTAGATTTCTCTTAAGAATTTCATATTTTTGATATTACTGAAATGATATTTTAAAAACTTGAATCTGTGATTGTGTTTTGACTTTGTATCCTGCTACATTGCTGAGCTCAATTATTAACATTTTTTGTAGACGCGATTAGATTTTTTACATATGTGGTGATGACTTCTGAGAAAAAGTTTTACTTTTTTTCAGATTTATTTTTCTAGATACATTTTACTGGCTGACCTGTCAGTACAATGTTGGAATGCGGGGATAAGAGGTACAACCAGACATCCTTGTCTTGTTCCCGATTTTAGGAGCAGAGCTCTTAGTTTTTTACTATTGCATATGTCAGCTTTATGTATTTTATAGATATTTTTCACCAGATGAAGAAGTTTCCTTCTGACAGTTTACTGAGAATTTTTTTTTTTTTTTTTTTTTTTTTTTTTCTTG